TTCCTTGGTTTCCTTTTTCTTTCAAATCTTGTTTAGTTTCTTTGCTTGTATTGTCCTTTTTCTTTGCTTCTTGCTCTCAATTTTATTACCTACCTCGCGATACAACCTTACTCTCAAAGGCTTGTGAAGTCTTCCAAGGTACGTTTTCTTGAACTTTGAGGTTGAATCCATATGAACTGGAGTACCGGACTAGAATTTTCCTTTTTGGAAAAAGGCTTGTGAGAGTATCTGCCACCTTGAGCGATACACGAGTGGAGTGTGTGTTTGTAAGAGTGTGTAGTGCACCCCCAAAATCCATACAATCCACCTCTTACTTGCGAGCTGAGAATAGTGAGGGAGCAAGCCAACTTTTTGGTTTCACTAACGTGACTACTCACACATCTTCTTGCTTTTAGATATTTTTTTTTCGTTTACAGATGGCTCAACAAGGTCCAAACTTGCCGCAGAAATTAGAACAAAAAATAGACAGGTTACTCAAACGAATGAATAATTTGGAGCAACGCTCACAACAAGTGCAACCACCATACAATGATGAGCAACACCTGCCACCAGTAGGAAGAGTGGATCCTAGATATCAAAGAATCCAACAGCGTAATACGGAGTTAGGAAACATTAAACATGAAATTCCTAACTTCACCGGTGAGAAAGGACCTACTGAATACATAGAATGGGAGAATGCTGTTGAAACTCTTTTTTATTTAAAGAAATATTCTGATCTTACAAAAATTAGGCTAGTTTCTACATCTTTTAAGGGGTATGCATTATCTTGGTGGCGAAAAAGAAATAGAGAGAGAGTTGCTAATTTTATTCCCTATGAATCTTGGGTTCAAGTGAGGGAAGATATGCGTCTAACCTTTCGTCCTAAATCTTGTTTCTATGATCTTGAAAGAAAATTGCAGGGAACCGTGCAAGGAACAATGTCAGTTGATGAGTACCACCAAACTATAAATATTTTGCTTGAACAGGGAAACATACATGGAGAAGAGGCAAAAACTATTGCTCGTTTCGTACATGGATTGAACTTAGAAATTCGATGTGGAATGAGTATTCAGAGATATGACACCCTTTATGATGCCTTGTATGCTGCACGTGAATCTGAGGCAAAAATCAAAGAGATGAAAATGTACAAGGCCAACAATGGTGCATCAAAATGGAACAATACTTGTTCCACCTCTCAAAGGCGTGATGAACGTCCTCTTCCAAGAGATGATTCACGAGACAAAGGTAAAGAAAAGGTAAGTGAGGCAGTGAAGCCTCAACGTGATAGAGAATTGATTTGTTATAGATGTAATGGGAGAGGCCACATAGCTCGTGATTGCCCTAACAAGAGGGTAGTTAAGATAACAACACAATCTGAAAATTTTACTTCTTGTCTTGAATATAAATCTGAGGATGAGGTTTGTGACCATTTTGAAACCCCCAATGAACATGTTGAGAGAGAACCATTCATACCTTTAGATTCTGATTCTAAATATGTTGATAGTGAGTCTTGTCATACTGTTGTTGTTAAGAAGGTTTTGAATGTTCACACTTTAAAAGAAGATGAGTCTCAAAGAGAAAATATATTTTGTACTAAAGGGTCAAATAGAGAGAATGCTTGTGCTATGGTAATAGATTCTAGAAGTTGCACAAATATGGCTTGATATGAACCTAGTCCAAGGTTCAAATAAGATGGAATATTGTCCCAAGAATGCTCTCAAAGTAAAGATAGAGATGGATCAAAATACCTTAAACCTCACGAGAAACCCTTTGTCTCGAATCCTCAAAGACTTGGAAGAATCCCATGTAGCTTCAAGTACCTCGATGTTGCAATCTTCAATCAACTAGAGTCGGATCTTATTCCTTCGATTCAAGAACGAGTCCACGAACCTAAATCTAAGGTTGAAGAAAGTAAGATTGATTCGAGTCCACGAATCAATTTGCTAGTCGAGTTCACGACTAGCCACTAATTGAGTCCACAATTAGCCATAAGGTTTCTTACACAAGTGTAAAGAAAAACTTAAGAATTTTATTGAATTAAAGCCTGTCTAAAACTGATATGGATGTGCCCTATTTATAGGTATAGGGAAGCATTGTAATCTAAATACAATGGGAAAAAGAGTCCTAAACCTAATCTAGAAAACAAGTAAATAGAGTTTTATTTAGAATAGGATTTAAGGAATCCTTTCTAAATACAACTAGTGTTTTCTCTTTTATGCCAAACAATTTAAATTAATGATGACCAAAAATAATAGGGCTGATTTGGGCCTAATTTAATCACCAAAATCAGCACTTAAACAATTATAAAAAAGCCTTGAGTTATTCTTCATATTTTGCAAATGGGCTTGACTTGGATTTCCACCATCTTTGAACATCACCAATGAAGAGTTGCCTTAATTGTTTGGACTTGGGCCTTGTGATTGGCCCAATTAGTATTCTTAATGGATCTTCATATGTTGGGCCGCATCATCCTCCCCTTCTTGAAAATGATTCGACCTCGAATCTTGTAAGCATTGTCTTCGATCCATGATATCACTTGAA